CTTTGGAAATAATACACAGATCTATGAGGTATTCTTTGGAAATAATACACAGATCTATGAGGTATTCTTTGGAAATAATACACAGATCTATGAGGTATTCTTTGGAAATAATACACAGATCTATACTTTGACATTATTGAGATTATATTTTGCTCAAACGTTTCTATAGTTTCAAGCTTTTTCTTTTCTTTGAAGCACCCTAGTGGCTCAGTGGTAAGTATTAAGGCTTATAACTCCAAAGATCGGATTCTATACCGGAAGTGGGCAGGACAAAGGTAGCCCATTATATAGCTTTGCGCTTAACAACAAACACACCTTCCCTGGACTTCTCCTTGCCTTTCCCAGCATTGGCTTTTCAGAAAGGCTTTTCTTTGGTTAAAAACTGTGGTTTCACTGTTATAGGTGGCACGAATTTAATTCCTTAGAAATATATTACACGGTCTTCCATGTATAGTATGACATATTTTATAAAGAATCCTGCATTAGTCCAGAATATGAACATTTACTTCTAGTGGTGTACAGGAATATGTGCAAAGTACAGGTAAAGACTTCATAACAAAGCCAAAGTAATAAACATGTCAAAATAATATGTAACTTAACTCTTCCTACCAAGGTTTGAATGATTAAACAACTCTACCAGCTAAAGTCTAATAACACTGGTTAAAAAAATGCAGGGCACTGAAACAACACTAGTGATTGTAATCTCTGTGTATATCATTTCATACTGCAGACCACCTTGTAAAACAAAATACAATGTTCAAACAAAGCAGACTGGATTTAAAGTTTTTGTTATATTAAGTGAAAAAAACAGTTTTATCAACCACAGGCTAGTCAGAATAATTATAATCTTACTCATACTGCAAAGTGGTCAAGTTTTACTGTGGTTACTGTAAAGGATGACCATCTCTTGGAAATGCGATGAACTCACTAATTGTTCCTAGCAGCTAAAATACAGACAGTTCTGATTAATATTAAATATATATTTATATAAAAAACGATTGTAAATGATTCTTCTTAGCAATGATAATTAATTCTTGAAAGATTACTAAAGCAACAACACTAATTATTCCAGAAAAGATAATTGGTTTTATTTCTAGAGTATTAGGTCATGTTTTATCAATCTTTTTAACAATGAATACCAATCTCCAGTGTTTACTACAAACTTTAAACTCTTACAATTAACTGTTTATTGAATATTCTGAGTGAGTGAGTGAGGTTAGGGGGCAACCTTTCAGGGGATGTAGCCACTAGATGCAAAAACCTTAATTACAACCACAACTTACAATTTAGTGAACAAGGACGAATACTTCAAAAAGTACAGGAGCAAGAAATGTTCCTAAAAAATTGTTTAAAGTGGTATTATAGAACATCATACTTTTGACATAAAAATTTAACAATTCATAAGGTAATTGCATTTAGTAAACATAAGTTATATGGTAAAAATATATCAAATACAAGCTCATAGTGAACAATGGTATCAGACATTTTAGGGTTCATAACATCTTGCATACGAGGCTAAAGGAACTACATTCTTACAACCTACTAAATATTCACAGAAGATAATGTTAAGACATATAATGATATCTTGTATGTTTAATGGTTGATTTTTTTTTGCAATATCTCATTTAAATTTTTTAACAAGCAGTTTTTAAGTTTCTATACTGAGATAGTTTGAAAAGTTCCTTAAAGTGTACCAAGCAGACACAGAAGTAATATTATTTATTAAACTAATTGGGTTACTACTGTAATGTAATTAATCAAAGAAAAAAATAGGTTTACATTCAATCTGAAGAAGCCTCGGTTTAAAATCACTTATGTATAACTTTAAAAAATGTGAAAATTGGTACGCTGTCCAATGTCGCGATGTGTTACAAATTTTAAATTCCCTTTTCTTCATTTTAAAGGAAGAATTCCTACAGAAACACTATGTCATGTTCTTTCAAGAATAAGTCCATGTATATTGATAAAATGTTGCAAAGCTTACAAAGTTGATAATTACAATGTTTTGATCCATAATATTGAGTCATCATCAGGTGAGAGTTATGTTATGATTTTAATAATTGTAATGTTTTGACCCATAGTATTGAGTCATCATCAGGTAAGAGTTATGATTTTAATAATTACAATGTTTTGACCCATGGTATTGAGTCATCATTAGGTAAGAGTTAATGTTACGATTTTAATAATTGTAATGTTTTGACCCATAGTATTGAGTCATCATCAGGTAAGAGTTATGTTCAGAAAATATTTTTGAATGTAACTTTTACCTGATGATGACTTGGTACTACAGGTCAAAACATTTTAATTATTAAAACGAGAACCTACTTACTGTGAAAGATGCTGTAATTGTATTTTTAATTAGTTATTAAGTTCAGTAGATTTCTCACTAAACATTAAAAATATAACTGTTTTTATGAGTTGCTAGATAACTGTGATTGACATGTTGAGGCCATAATAATATCGTGGAACCCGAGTTTCTAGGGATTATTATACTGCTCTAGTAGCTCCTATACTAGGCAATTAACAATTAATCCTAGGTTATTATTCTTTTTTACATTTTACATATCACAAATGTGTTACTTGAAATAACCGAAAGATTATGTACATCACGTGGTCATGTGTACCTGCTTAATATTTGTGTAATAAGAAGTTAAGTAGCCTCAAACTTAAACTATCAGTATTAACTTTTATCTTACATCAGTTTTCACAAGACCTTAGTGTAAGTATTACTCTAATTTTATATAGTCTCAGACAAAAACCATATTTTTTGTAGCTCATCACGAGAACAGGTATAGGTATTTCTATCACCTCTGAAGGCAATGGCCACCTTCCCGTGTATGGATGTCAAAATGTCTCAAGTTTTACTAAAATTGAAATTTAACAAAGATCAAATATAATAACTAATTTTAATTACACCTTCTACCAGTTTGGTTCTGAATATTACTTGAGAAGAAAATTTACATTATTAAATCAGAAAGTTTCAGTTCGTAGGAGGTCAAAACTAGAGGATACGCTGCCAACCTTCTGTTTATAAACTGATACTCAGTACTTTGAATAACTGTCGTCCACTATCCCTCTCAAGTAATTTAGCTACAAAGGAAAAGTGATTCAGAAAGTACACGACTTTGAGTTGACTGCTATTACTATATATTTTTGACAAGCTTTTGTTTCCTCTGGTTCATATTTTAAACTTAATTTAAGTGAATGGAATGCAACACAGGACCACTGACAGAATTTCTCTTTGTAGGAAGCAAAAAGATGATAACTTAAATAAATAACGATGTTTTATATAAGTTACTAGTACTGGAGAATTTAATGTCAGCAAGCATTTTCTTTACTTTTGTTGAATTAATGGTTTATGTGTGATGAATATTTTTTTGGAAATAGTTTATCAGATTAGTGATTTATGATAATTTCGTTTCTTTATAAATTTCATTGACAATTAATGGAGTTTACCCACTAAACTTTTTAATGTCTACAAACTAACTCTATAAGTACGCTTTACTCAAAATGAACAGTTAAGCCTTTATCTATCAGTAACTTTTCATCAGTACTAATTGCTATTAGTATTGCTACCTTGGGTCGCAACAAAATATATATCTACAACAAATTTATATTTTTAATTTTCCAATACTAATTTAACATCAACAAAAAGTGTTAGAATTTAAATATATACAGAACAGATACGATATGCATTTATCACTTTACCAGTACCACTACCTGGTTCGATAAAAACACTTCACGCCAATAACTTACACTAGACTACAAAAAAACACAACTAATAGTGGTATATTCTTAACAGTTAAATTACAGAATCGATCGTCATCTGATACTAGGGTTTTCTGAATGAAGAAGTCAATCATGTAAAAAAAAAATCACAGCGAAGTGACAGAGTTCTATATCTCAGATTATACCACCTAAGTGCAGACACATTGACATAGATACGCGCCGCCTGGTTTAAAATACAAAAACTTCGACACACTGTGTCATGACGAATTTTGAACTTGTGCTGTAGGTTGTTCTAATCTAATTTCCAAACGCGTTTACATGTATATAACCGTATAAGTTGTGAATCATACATAAAATAGAATTATGTTGGATTATTTTATGCATAATAAAACAAATAATGAAATTTATTGTTAGGTAACGTGTTTGCGATCGACGCCCTTTTCTTCGAACACTTGTATTCTACCGTTATGTTAGAATGCTATCTACAGTATGTGCTGTCTTATCCCCTATTTTTATTACAACAAACTAAATAATATTATTATCTATATATTTTTACTATTGACGAGTTTTTATACTATCAAAAATAATAATAAATTTTAGATTATTGGACAATTTTTTGCCTTTTAATTATTTGCATAGGGTTGGTTT